CCAGGTTGGGCCAGTCCCAGCTCGGTCTACGACAAAACCATCTTAGAACTGGGCTTCGCTGGAATCCATGACTATAAGACCTTCGGGACTGCCTTTAAGCCCATTTTCAAACTATCCAAGCCCAGGCAATAATGGAACCCACTAGCTGGGATTGAATCTAGACACATAACTAATAAAGTTAGATGTTTCAGAATGTCAGAAAACGAAATGATAATTCTTCTATTTTTACCTATTATAAATTCAAAAGATGTTATTTAAATTTTTTATTAAAGTTTTTTAAAAACCAAAATCCTATCAATTGAGTTTGTATATTTTATATATATCACACAATTCAATGTAATTATCTCAATGGAATATTGTATTAATTAATATGATCTGGTAGTGAGTATAATATGATATATCACAAACATGTATGGAGTAATTTATTATAAGAAAATATATCAACAAATTGCAGCATGTAGAACGTGCAATTAAGCATCTAGTAGATTGATGAAAGCCTGTAAATTATTGAGAGGAATTTGTTCTTGTAGTACTTTTTGAAGAGATTTATATGAGATAATTCTATATAATAATTTAAGGTACACGTTTTTGGTAAATTTCAGTTTCAATGCACTATTAAATTTTCTACTTAGCCTTATCTATTTCAATCCAAAGATCTAACTTAAAGTTGCGTAATGCAATTTACTTTTAATTATCACAAAAATAGGAAAAAAAAAATGTCGCTCTTAAAGTTTAAAAAGGTGGTTGAAATTGATTCAATTATGATGGTGAATTGAATTGATAAATAAAAAAAAAATTAATTTCACAAAAGATCAGTGTTAAGTCATATTTGCATTTAGAATATGAGTATAAGGGAATAAAGTAAATATTACACCAATAATTTTTTTTTATAAATTTTTTTTCATAACCTTGATATGATAATTCATAATTGATCAATTCGTAATTAATTAGTAAGATTTATGTGAAACTCATATAAGATTTATTGTAAATTAATTAATTATAAACTGTTACGTTAAGGTTATAATAAAAAATTTGTGTGAGAGAATTATCAAACTACAATTATTCATAAGAAATATTGCTCTCCCTGAAAATAAAAAAAAAAGCTGTTGGAATTCATAGTTAGCGGTTAGTTAACAGACGGCGTGTCGTTTTTGCCGAAATTACACGTACCTCGATTTGAAAAGGAGCGGTGTGGCAGACTGGCAATAGCCGCCCACCACCACACAGAATACTTGTTCAGTTGACGGCAGCTATGAAGTGAAGCTGGTGACACGTGGAGGGCAAGCGAAGTCTCACTGATTGAACGGGCCCCACTGCAAAACAAACCGAAAATGACGTTTGACCTAATGCGGCGAAGGCTTTTTCTGTCTCTGACATTTCGACACGTCACAAATTCCTCACGGCTTATCTGCGCCGTACGCATAACCACCGCCACTTCACGTGCTGCGATAGTTGCGTGTTATAAGTTAGGAGAGTTTGCTTCTCACGCGCGCGCTGTGAGCGTACGATAATTACTTATGGTTTGTTGCATCTCATGTAGTGGTTGCTTCACGTTCATCTCATCTCAACTAAAATGCCCCAATGACATGTTCCCACCCGATGTTTTCCCTAATGATTTTACTACCCGAAAAGATTTAAAATAACAATTAGCCACTTCCTGGTAATATATGTTTCAAATTTAACTGAAGAAGGATACGATAATAAATTCAAAAATAGTTAAAAGATAATTATGTCATTTTACCTTTATATATAAATTTTAAAAAATCTCAAATCAAACTTTTTTACCTTTCTTCCCTAACCCTCAACACCAAAATCCTTTAGATGCGATTTTGATCTAATTGCGCTAAATCCTCTACCCCCAATCTTTTATTTTTTGCATTTTATTTATTAAATCTTTTTTTCTCGTCTTTGTATTTGTTTGAGATTTCTGTAATTTAATGATTTGATTTTATTATTTCATGTGTTTTTTCATTTATGACTGATGTCGTGGATCGAATTTTGTTTTTCTGTTGGCCTATTTCTTTGATTTTTGATATTTTTAGTTTTTGTTTATTCAGTTTCGTAGAAAATTAGGTTTTCTTTTCGATCTTTAGAGGTTGACATAAGGAAGTAAGCGGAATAACTAAGAATGATTGGTTGCTTTTATTTAGGTTTTCTTAAAAGCGCGAAATTATGAGAGATTGATTTTGATTTTATGAACTGGAAAATTTGGTCGGGATTGCATCCGACATATCGCACCAGATCTCGGGCGAATCTGGTGCGATTAGGATTGAGTGGGGGGTGTTCAAGCTTAGAGAACTTTATGTTGTTGGGGAACTTTGCAAGAATCTTGCCACTTTCTTGATTTACAATATTTGAGTCTTTGGGACTATATTCCAGGGCAAGGTTTTGTTGTGGGCTAGCGTGAATATTGTAAACCAACGAATCTGGTGGTCGACAATCATATTCATTCGAACTTGGTAAAGGTTGTCGTGACACTTGTAGTAGGACACATGACTTATCGCAATGCTTTCGGACCAATTTACTATGTCTCTGTCACCGACATTCTTCAAGGAGGCCAATGGGGTGTGAGTTGGTTGGTCGCCAAGCTCACCTCTCTCTCGCTGTTGCATGCCTTTGATGTACAAAACAAGCATAGCTCGTAGACGAGCACACTAATAAGGCTTAGAATGAAAATCTCTTGGTTGGGGATGGGAGGAAATCAAAATGAGATTTTGTGCGTTAATTTGTGTGAGAAGATTGATGGTGGGATGGTGGTGGAGGAATAGATGAGATGGGTTGGGATTGGGTGGTGGGATGGTGGACGATGGGTTCATGGGTACTAACAAGTGGGTCCTGTTCGGGGTTGAGAGCAAAATAAAAATGATAGAGAAGCCATGAAAGTTGGTATTATATCTATGGGGGATGACAAGGTTAGCTACCAAAGATGGTGGTAGAGTGCAATGGTGCGATTCCGGTCGAATAAGATCTGGGATTTGGATTCAAAGAGGAAATGATATTTTTATCTTTAGTCAATTAATAGATTTCACTCATAAATCTTCATAGAAAGTGGGTAATTATTATATTGGGTAGTAAATTGTCCGTAGGGCAATCTTCGGGTGAGAAGATAACTGAGGGCGTGTTTGGTTCAATATTTCTACCCATATTCCCAATCCTATTCCCCAAATATTGATTGACACATTACTTGAGAAATATTAGTGTATTTTTAATTACTTTTAGACCCCTTAAGTTAATTAATTTCACTAAATACCTCCAGAAAAAAAGTTTAAAAATTAGTAAAAACACCCCCACCCACCCATGCTTGCCAGATTCTGGCAACCATTGTCGGTGGTAATCGGAATCTATCACAACGGCTTAAACCAAAACCGAAACTAGCCGGTTATTCACCGATTTAGCCTTCAGCGACAACCAAAGAAATGACCGGCCAAATCTTGGTCATTGTTGACTGAAAACGACGGCCAAAGATGGACATTTGTGGCTGTCGATGGCCACAATTGGCCGTAGATCTGACCTTTTCCGCCAGATATATGGTGGATTTGGCCGAAAAAGACCATATCGACGCGTTACGACACAGATCCGACCTGTCTGTGTTGTAACGCAATTTTTCGGTCGGATTTCGGTGGTGGTGGCCGAAATTTGACACTATGAATGGTGAAGGTGTTTTTGCCATTTTATATATTTGGGTGTTTAATTAAATTAGCAAACTTAGGGATTTTTTTATAAATTTTTTAATTTTATCTCGTAATACTCTCCTATTCAACTATCAAATATTATTCTCAAAATCCTATCCAAAATAATAAACCAAACGTACCCTAAAATATTCAAAACAATTGGAGAACACACATTTTCATCAGACATCTATGACCACGAGTAAGACCTAATCTTGTAGCCTAATTTCTGATTCTATTTAGCGCAAATTTAAATAATAAAATATTAAAATAAAAATGTATTAATTACTAATTAACTCATGTCAAGAGTATATTTCATATTAAAATTAAATATAATAAAGTTGTATTCATGAATAATCTATGTATATAACATTAGTCATTCGCGTCTACGTCATAAAACGCGTTACGCTGCACACGTCGTGAGACCCCTAGGCCTGTGCAATGTCATGTCTTTTTGACTGGAGTGTCCGATTTTATTATAATGCAGGCATGAATGTTCATGAGATCTGATGCATGCATGGACCAACATAGCTCGCCGACGGAAAAGGAGGACCCCACCGAAAGCGGCAGCGACGGCTCCACTCTCAAACCCAAAAAACAAATAAAGAGTAGGACCCAGTGGTCCCACATCTGCCTCCTATTACGCTCCTCTAGGCTTCCTGCCTCTTACCTAGCAAATTACTTTGATTAATACTTTAAAATTTGGACGGCAAAATATTACACGTGCCGGCCTCCATGATCACAGACATGTAACCCGTCAACACGGAATGTGAGGGCCCTACCTTTACTCACAGAATGAGAAAGTCTCGTGATTTGCTCAGTACAGACTACAGAGAGATCTGATTTTCACACTAATTATTATTTTATTATTTCTTCTATTCACATAGTTTCGGACAAAGGAATCTATTAAGATATCAATGTAAGTGTTTGCTGCTGATTTCTTCACTCATAAACAAAATTTAAGACCGTCTCTTACACTTGGCTACGCCATTTGTTACTCAGATCGTTTATAAAATTGAATTATTATTTTTTTAATTGTGATTCTATGTTGTTTACTTCAGGGGTTATGTTGTTGAGTTCTCAAAAGATGGGTTTAAAATTTATGGTAATTTAATTCAAAATGTTTGTGTTTGAGTTTTCAGGTTCAAATTTTGAAATTACTATTATAATATTATGATTTATCTTATAAATTTTGAAATTATTATTATAATATTATAATTTATCTTATCTTTTGAGTTTGTAAAATATTCAATCTCTTAAAAGTTAATTAAGATATGTATAAACTCTTGAAAAAAAAAGAAAAAGAAAAAAGGTAACAAATGAGCAAGGAAGTAGAGAAATTTGTTATGGATATTTGATAGTAGGAAATAGAAAATTACATTTAAGTGCGACTAGAGGTTACAACAAAAACAGGATAGAGAAACTTTAATAACTTCTCTAAGCTGCAAAAAGAGGAACCTAACTTATTTACATCATTTCAACAGGTCCACGTCCATCATTCATCACTCTCTAGTTCAACAACCTTTTTAAACATTAAAGAAGAAATTAGTACTAAACAACTAAAAATTTTATATCTCCACAAATTTGTTAAAAATCAACGGTTATAAACTCATCCATCATGCATCCACAACTGGTGGAGCCAGATTCAGATCAAGATTGAGACCTCTTCTTGGCTTACAATCGACGGCCGATGATGAATCTGACCCACTCTGAACCCCACCACCAACTCTACTAACCCCAATCGGTTCAAACCGAACTGGATAAACCGGACCCATCAAATCTGGCCGTACCAACGTGTCAATGAACAAAACAGGAGGCGCGTGGGTCACGCACCCAATTCTATCACCACTCAGCGCCATAACACTCGGCTGCTGATACACAAATGGAAAACGACCAACGAACCCATGCCCACCGCCAATATGGCGCGTGACTTCACGCTCCACCTCATGCTCCGAGGACTCCACGGTACTACTCTGGCTGGGACTATGCTGACTATTGTTGTTATTGTTATTATTACTGTTTACAACGGATACAATTTCATTGGGTAAGGGGAAGTTAGTTTTAGCCTTGGAGCCACGAAACTCCCGAGCCGCCGCGTCGTACGCTCTGGCCGCGTCCTCAGCGGTATCGAAGGTACCGAGCCAGACGCGGCTCTTCTTACCGGGGTCTCTGATCTCGGCAGCGTAACGGCCCCACGGCCTCTTTCTGACTCCTCTGTAATGCACCTCGGTGTTTACAGAGCTTCTTCTAGTAGCGCCATTATTTGATTTTTCTTTGGGTGCCATTGTTTGTTGTAAATAGATAGATAGGATTCAAGTAAAGGGACGTGGTCGTGATGTATTGTGGTTTGCATGGAAGAGGAGAGGGTGGGTTGGTTTTTATATAGAGAAGAGAAGGGGTGAAGGGTGAAGGAGAGTATTAAGGGAGTGCGGTCAATGCGGGATTTGACTGAGGCGCCGCCCAAGCGAGTAGAGAGAGGAGACAATATGATAACGTTGTCTAGTGATACGTGGCACGCGGGAATGTCGAGACAAGCGGCGAGCTACTCTTGAATCTTGATGCGTGCCGGCTTTTGCCTAACGGTGTCGTTATTACACGCCCTTGACTTTTTTGTATAAAACTCCACTCTATCTTTGAGAAAATGAATTCACTTTCTTATCCTAGGAATATATTTATAATTCATTACCAATAAACAAAGGAGAGGTGTTTTGCACGCTCCCTTGGTGAGTTTGTGAATAGTAGGCATAAGAGTAAGGGGGATTAGATTAGCTAAGGACCGATTCTTAACATCTGTCAGCGTTATCCGCCACATCGCCGTCTCTCTCTCTGAACCTTTTGAATCGCTCTGTTGGACCGACAGCTAAAGGAAGTAAGCTCAACAGCCATTCAAGTAATGACACGCGTCCTTTTCTTGCGTTTGACGCGTCCTTAACAGAAGGCCCCCTCGTCAATATTTCGGTGCAATCAACTAATTGCATCAGTGTCTTTGTCTACTGATCCATTTTCTCGTGCGCGTGATTTTTAAATACTCTTTTAATTCTCATTTAATGCGCGTGAAAGATACGAAAAGTGGTACTCTCTTTGTGATTGGAGATTGATGAAAACGAGTTTGTAGAGCACGTGAGGGGGCGTGTTAAACAAAGTTAGTTAAATATAATCTAGCAGAAATTGATGATTCTTAGCTAAAAAGCAGTATAGATAACGGAATTTATTGACACGTGTTATCCGTTTGATGCTTATGTTATGTTGATAGGCGGTGAGTGGAATCGTATCCACCCTTTAAATGTCAGGAGTGTGATTGGGCTTTTAAATTATAAAATTAATGGTATTTGGAATTCGATGTTTCTATTTTAAATTTAGTTTAATTTAAGTTAATATAAAACAAATCTTTGAAGTACTTTTAAATTAAATAAATCTTAAATTTCTTGTCAGTTATTCAGTTTATTTCTTTCAAACATTATTATTATGTCGAAAATAATATGTATATTATGAGTTTAAAAATTATTATAATTTGCATTAAAGAGCATTTATTCATCAGTATGATGAAAAGATAGGATAAGATTAAATAGGGGGAATAAGGTCTAAAGTTGCTATTCTGGGGTGTAATTTTAGCTAAATTACTTCACGCATTTAATTATTCAATAGCAAATTGGACAGAGACACAAGAACGACAGTGACAGTAGCTAAGACTCAACCTATGATTTAGGAGGGTCCCAAGTAGCATGCTTAATTTGTCCTTAATACAAGAAAACTAGAAAATTACAACTCATGGTAAAGGACAAATTCTATTAACGTGTAATACAATCCCTTCATAAGTGCTAAAAAGATGTTGAGAATAATAAAATGAGTAAACGCAAAATCCCCACTCAAGGTTTGACTAAATCCCAAGTTGGTATCTTTGATTACATTTATTCCAAATTCTCATCCTTAAAGTAATAAAAAAGTGTTTGATGTAATGATAAAAGAGTAAATTGATCATTTTGCATGGACGACGCGCGTTAGCAGATCGTTGCCTTTAATAATCCTCCGACACACGTTAGCAAATGGCGTCTCTGATTTTTTTGCCTTTTTTCTGGTGATTCTTTCACCAAAAATCACCATTGTCACCACCATTTGAACCCCCATCCTCTCCTCTACAAAACCTTACCCTTCACAACCCCTCATCACTCGCCGATTGTTGGCCACGGCAGCCACAACATAAGACCAGTTTTTGTTGGTTTTCGACTGTTTTGAACGACGACAACCCCAACCACCACCACCACCACCACCATTTGACTCCTCGTATCCCCCCTTACAAAACCCCTAACCTTCCCAGTCATGACAGCTCACTGTTTGCCGTCCACCACTTCACCAAAAAGGCAATTGAACATGAACTCTTAGCCTGCGAACGGCGACTAAATAGTTGTTGGGGACATAAGAGTTTTACAAAGTTGGAGATGCTGGTTGCAGGGGTGGTGTCCAATTGGATTTTCGCCGCCGAAATCTAACGAAGAATAGAGAAACACTAAGCCTAACGGCACCGACGATTGGAAGGGCCAATGAGTCGGGAACCAGAGGGGTTTTGGATGAAAAACTACGGGGAAGGTGATGGAGGTGACCAGGGGGTTCGATGCTGTCAGAAATAGCTTAGATCGGGCAAAAATCGATAAGGTGTGCAGTGACCAAGAGTGTTATTGAGATAATTTGAAAATAATATGGTAAGTTATAATTCTACTAATTTAGGGGTTAAAACGTAATTTATTAATTTAGAGTTAAGGAAATTATGGTAATTGCATCATCTATACCCTAAAAATTGCTAACATTGTTATTTTAAGAGTGGAAATCTAGAATAGATGTAATTTGGGTTACTAACTTGGGATTTCGTCAAACTTTGGGTGGGAATATGTCGTTTACTCTAATAAAATTATAAAAATAATATTTATTCTTTACATTTATATATGTTAACATTCTAATCATTTATAAAAGCAGATTCAGTAACCAGAACATCATGGTTCAACTATAGCATGTGAACCAAGGTGCCGTATTCACATTCTAGATTACAAAAGAATATATTAGCGAACTAATGACTCTAATTAAGCTCTAATAAGCACATAATTAATTAAGTTTACTGCTTCTTGGCATGTCTATGACAGAAGGCCTTGATCCTGGCAAGCCCTTCTCCAAGACAGGTGGGTTCAACTGCAATATTTATGCGTACCCAATTTTTCAATCCAACGGCCACCCCTGCATTATCATGCACCACACGCAGATTAGATTTTTGGAGAAAGCGATTCATCACTGCCCATGAACTACCAATCAACTTATCATAGTCTGAACTCTAAAGTCTAAACAGATAATACTAGAAAAAGCTAATCAGAAATGTCTTATGTATAATTTTAAGCGGCCACCCAAATCTGGAAATTTGGGCATATATAAATGTGAAGAATATTTGAAGGTCAAAACTCATATATAAATGTCCTATGTGTAGGACATATTAATAGGCATTTCAATTTATATTATTGGCTTCTTAATTAAGAAAGAAATCGTACTAAACATAGGGTATTAAATGATTCTAGACAAATGCGTAAGGAAGCACTAAGGTAAAAGTTAATACACTGTTATCTAAGTTCCTGGTAGAACAATCACAGATTCCTCTTTGGCCAGCTTCAGACTAAAATCCATATCATCTCTAATTCCTTCAAGTAATGATAGGTTTAACTTTATCTGCATGTAGTAGTTATTAAGCATAAGAAATCAAATATAATTTTCTATTTCAAAAAGTTTTTGAATCGCAAGATTAGTATGTTTTAGCCATGTGTATTTACCATCACAGACATGGAGCCTTCATGTTTTTGTTGGCAAGCAATGCAAGGGATGTCCTTGATTTTACTGTAAAAAATGTCCGCAGCTTCTTTTATGGTGTTGAGAATACTGGAATAAAAATCTTCTTTTAGAGTCTCTAAGATTTGAGGAATGGCCCCTTGATGCATAAACCATATTCATTAGAGAACTTACGACAACTTTGTTTATAAGCATTACTTGAATTAATAATTAGTTCCATTACATACCTGAATAAAGGTTGCGGGAAAGGTGGAGATATTGAGATAATTCTTAATGTCGTCCACAATCTGGTTAGAACAAAAAATTGTTAACTAAAGCAAACCACTAAAGTTGAGCAGCATATAAATAATCTAAACACCCAATCATTTTTTTTGTCTAACTAAAATTTATTGTTTAGATAAAACAAGATATTTTTGAGGGTTAGTGTAAGTGTGAAGATCACCAACCCCAGATTTTTGAAGGATGCCATGAGGATCGGTGGTGGCAATCCAACCAAGCCTCCAACCAGGAAGAATCCATCTCTTTGATAGAGATCCCAATGTAACTACAGGTACAATGGATCCAAACTGTCCCATAGGTACGAATGGTGTGTTCCCATAAACAAGATGCCCAAAAACTTCATCAGCAATCACAAATATTCCAAGCTTTCGTGCTGTCTCTGCCACCTGAATGAATTTGCACAAAACGTACATGCATAAACCAAAAGTTGGCACTTCCAAAGTAACTATAACAAATCAATATTGATACCCTATAAAGATATAAAAATATATAAACCTTTTTCAATTGCTGGTATGTGAAGACATTTCCACAAGTGTTGCAAGGGTTTATGATAACAATGGCAGCAGTGTTTTCATCTGCTAGAGATTCAACTGCATCAAGATCAATTTCCCATCCTTTTTCTGGTATAAGATCAAAATGGCGTACTTCTAGTTTACTAAAAGCTGCACAAGATTCATAGATCGGGTAACCTGGCCTAGGAAGAAGAATATTTGCACCAGGAGGAGCAAGGACTGATATCATTATTTCAATTGCATGTGCGCAGCCAACTGTAACATAAACATCATCTGCTGAAAATTGACTCGAATTAAGATCACGAGAGAGAAATTCTGCAATTGCCCTGTCTAATGGATGAGACGATGTTATTACCATCATTTTAATTATGTATTTATATAAAATTTTGCACTATAATATACTTGAAAAATTAAAAGAATAAGAAGAAACAAAGTTTGATTGAGTTTATAAGAAAAAAAGTAGGTTAGTTTGACACTTATATTACAGAACAGAATTTGTCTATAAGTGAGAGTTCAATGTGCAAGGTGGAGCTTTTTTGAGGAGAATAGATATGTAAATAACAGAAAATTAGTAAATAAAATAAGCTGCTACTTGATCCTTAAATAAAAGAACCATTGGCATGTAGTTTAATTTTTCATTTTAAATAAACATTAAATTTGTACGTAGATTGAGAGATACCTGAAAGTTTAAATTAAATTTATTACCTTCTTGCAGGAGGAATACCAAAGATAGGAGCATAACCATTGAACTTAGCTGATCGTACAGCATCAACAATAGCATCATCGGCTAACGCCGTGGTCCGAAAGCACTGAAAAACCGAGGGATCGCCTAGGCCAAGGGAAATGACGGGCCGGTCATCATCTTTGTTGAGATTTGCCATCAACACTTCATTAACTCCTTCAATGTTACAGAAAGTTTCATTATGATCATGAGTGGAACCTTGTTTCAGTTTCTTCTCCATTTCTTCTTAATTACTTGAGTTTCTTATAATTTGGTGGATCAAGATTCAGTGGAGAAGGGTACTTATATATAACTCGTTAGACAGTCAAAAAATTCCACTTGTTTTGGCTTTATTTTGTATACACTTGCATGTATGTCAACTCAATGGAAAGGCATCTACGCGATTTGTCTTAACAGAGATTCCTTTAAAATAAGACTTGACATTGCCTTAAAACAAGGCTAGAAATTCCTTTAAAATAAAACTCATTTAGTAATAATATCAATTGAGTAGTTTCTATATTTGCACATGATATGTATTTCGATTTCCAATAAAATATTTGTATTGACTGCTAGGGTGCGTGTTCCCATGCATAACTAACACGTTTTAAACTCTTTCGGAGCTAGGTCAAAAAGCACGTGGAAATTCATTATACAAACAAGTAGTTACACTGAGAAAAAAATATATGAAATCATATCAATTTTGGTACAAGCTAGGAAGCTTCAGGTCTACAATACAAAAAAGTTAATTTATTTTAAAGATCAACAAGCAGTCTTAATTTTATAATCAATTATCCAGTTTGTGTTTCTCAGATGTTGCACGATAAAAGATTATTACAATTAATTTGCCCGTAAATATAGAAATTAAACTAGAACATTAGTACACACGTCAGGTGGGTTCAATAGCAATATTTAATGCGTAGCAGATTTTTCAACCCAACAGCCACGTTGATATCATGACCAAATGCAAACACGTAATTGAAGATATATAACTGCGTAAGAAGTATATATAAAGGTAAGGTAATTCTAAACTATGTTAATTAATTACCTGGTAGAACAATCACAGCTTCCTCTTTGGCCAGCTTTAGACCAAAATCCATGTCATCACTAATGCCTTCAAGTACCTAATGACAGGTTTAGTTCTATCTGCATGTAGTAGTAATAAAATACAATTTTGTATTTAATTTTTTTTTTTTTTTTTTGAATCACAATATCAGTAAGTCGTGGCAATGTGTATATACCATCACAGACATGGAGCCTCCAGGTTTTTGTGGGTAAGCAATGCTCGGGACGTCCTTGATTTTGCTGTAAAAGATGTCTACAGCTTCTCTAATGGTGTTGAGAATACTGGAATAAAATTCTCCTTTTATAATCTCCAAGATTTGAGGAATGGCCCCTTGATATATATATCATAATTTTCATTTCTAGTTTAAAATGATTTAGTTCCAAGATAATTTAATCTTTTTGATAAGTTGTTTACAATAAAAAACTCATATTTGTATACCTGAATGAAAGGTTGCAGGAGAAGTAGAGATGTTAAGATAATTCTTAATTCCGTCCACAATCTGGTCAGAACAGAAATTGGAACGATTTGAAGTTTAAATGCATATTCGGTTAAGTCTCTCGGCTGTATCAATTTATAAGTAATTATAGCGGACATGACCAACCCCATAGTTTTTACGGATGCCAATATTAGGATCATTTAACACAATCCAACCAAGCTTCCAACCAGGAAGAATCCATCTTTTTGACAGAGACCCCAATGTAACTACAGGCACAATGGATTCAAACTGTCCCATAGGTTCGAACGGTTTTTTCCCAAAAGTTAGATGCCCAAAAACTTCGTCAGTAGTCACAAATATTCCAAGCTTTCTGTTAAGCACAAATCTACTCTATATGAGGGAGTAGAGCCTCCAAGAAGAAAGAAAAGAGAGAATAGAGTTTTAGTCAATAAGTTCTTCGCTACCCACATTATTCCAGTTCATAGCTAATATAGCTGGTACTTAAAAACTTAATAATTGCAGTTTTCTTAAAATTATTGAAACTACCTAAAATAACGACATAAACTGCTAAATCAATGCTAATTATGTAACAACATAATTTTTGGCCCAAAATGGAGACTGACGAACCCTCTGGGTTTTTCTGATTTCCTTTGAATCTGCCTTCCTAACATTTCCCTCCCCATTTGGTGCAACCTTGCCCTCAAGGTTGGAAGGAATCAGCCCATAAACAGCTTCCATTTCTGTTGCATTTTCCCAGGATGCGTCTTCCAAAGGAAGACCTTGCCATTGCACTAATAGCTGCTCCACTCTTCCACCAGATCGCATTCTTGTTCTATGTTCCACTACTGCCAATGGTACAACCTGTGGGTGACCCTTAAAAACTGCCGGAGGTAAAGCCAATTCGTGCTCGTGAACCAATGCATACAAGGTTTTAAAAGTGAAACATGAAATACGGGGTGAATTTTTTATTCAGGCGGTAACGCCAACCTATAAGCCACTTGACCCACTTTTTTAACAACCTGAAATGGACCACAATACCATCGACCGAGTTTTGTATATCCTTCACCACGCAAGGAATTCTGGTGATATGGTTGAAGTTTTAAGTACACCCTGTCACCCACTTGAAAATCTAATGCACGACATCGGTGATTAGCACTTCGAGTCATTTGCTGTTGAGCAAGAGTTAAATTTTCCTTCAATCTCGCAGTAGCACATCTCTATTGGCTAGTTCCCAATCCATTGCTTCCAATTTTGAATCACCAACTGTATAGGGCTGAATAGTACGGGGGTCACAGCCATACACAAGTTTAAATGGTGTAGTGCTTGCGGCAGTATGACAGGAAGTGTTGAAGAAGAACTCTGCCCACAGTAAATACTCCACCCACTTTTGCGGCTGATCCAAGGTAAAACAGTGTAACTACTGCTCAAGTGTACAATTCGTCATCTCTGTTTGACCATCCGTTTGAGGATAGTATGCCGTACTGTGCTTTAGAGTTGTTCCACTAAGTGCAAACAATTCTTGCCAAAAAGCTCTCAAGAAAATAGGGTCGCAATCACTTTGAATTAATTTTGGTAGTCCATGAAGTTTGTATACGATGCTCACAAATAGCGTTGCCACCTTCGCAGCTGTAAATCCCTTTTTGAGCGGCCTGAAATGCGGATATTTGGTTAACCTGTCAACCACAACCAAAATGACTGAGTAGCCAGCCGACTTTCGCAACCCCGTAACAAAATCCATTGCTATTTCCTCCCAAATCTGATTAGGTACTGGCAATGGTTGGAGCAATCCCGTTCGTGCGCGAGCTTGATACTCAGCTTGTTGACAGACATGACACTTTTGCACAAATTCCTGAACATCCTGAGCCAATCCCTGCCAATAAAAATTTAATGATAATCTGCTCACCGTCTTACGAATACCACCGTGCCCGCCTAAAGGAGAGGAATGGAATTCAGTCAAAAGCTGCTGCCGCAATTCTTTGTCTGCAGGAACCACAAGTCTGTCATGATAAAATAATAGTTGATCTCGCAATGCAAAGCCTAGATGAGTGTGTATCTCTTGTTGAAGATCTGTCATTATTTTTTGACAAAATTTATCCCACTGTAATGCGTCTCGCAGCTGGCCCAGGATAAAGAAAATTGGAACTGAAAGAGAAAATGTCTCAGCCTGGATCTGTCGTTGTTCACCCTTGAACTGTCGTGATAATGCATCTGCCGCAAGATTAGATTTGCCCGACTAATAAGTCACTATAAAATCAAATCCTAAGAGTTTAATGAGATAGGCATGTTGCTTTGGAGTTTGGATTACTTGTGACAATAAATTCTGCAAGCTCTGATGGTCTATGCGAATGACAAACTTTCGTCCCAGTAAATACTACCGCCAACGCATGATTGCTTCTGTAACGGCATACAACTCACGAACATCTGCCGAAGCTTTCTGTAACCGAAGAGTCAGATTCTTGCTAAAAAATGCAATTGGGTGACCGTCTTGCATGAGTACAGCGCCAATCCCAGTACTTGAAGTATCCGTTTCCAATTCGAATGGCTTATTAAAATTCGGTAGAACCAAGACCGGAGCTTGAGTCATTGCTTGTTTCAAGTTTTTAAAGGCTGTCAAGGCTTCAGTGGACCACTCAAACTTGTCTTTTTGTAGGAGGTTTGTTAATGGGGCGGCAATGGAAGCATAATGTCGCACAAATTTTCTATAATATCCTGTTAACCCCAAGAATCCACGCAATTGTCGTATTTTCGTTGGATGAGGCCAGTCAATCATAGCTTTGATCTTAGAAGGATCAAGAGCCACTACTCTACCCAAAATAATTGTGTCCCAAATACTCCATACGACTAACACCGAGCACGCATTTCTCTCACTTAGCAAAAAAAAATGTTATCCCGCAAGCAAGAAAGAACAGCTGAGAGGTGCTTTGCATGAGTATCCAAATCACAACTGTATACCAAAGATGTCATAAAAAAATGATTACAAACTTAGGAAGGAACGATCTGAATACTTCATTCATGGTACTCTGGAATGTCGCCAGAGTATTTGTTAAGCCAAACGGCATGACCACGAATTCATAGTGGACCTCATGAGTTCTAAATACGGTCTTTGCTATGTCCTCCTCTGCCATGCGAATCTGATGGTATTTGGACCTTAAGTCAATTTTAGAGAAAATTGTGGCACCATATAGCTCATCTAACAAGTTATTTACTGTTGGAATGAGCAACTTATCAGGTACTGTAATCTTATTCAGGGCTCGATAATGAACACAAAATCGCCACGAACCATCATGTTTCTTTACCAATAGAACCAGTGATGAAAAAGGACTTCAACTGGGTCTAATTAGTCCGCTCTCCAACATCTCTGATACCATTCTTTCCAACTCCCCTTTTTGAAAGTGAGGGTATCGATAAGGGCGTACTTGTACTGGCATGGAATTTGGTTGCAAGCAAATTCGGTGATCGTTAACTCTTGGTGGCGGCAAGGCTGTAGTGGCCTTGAAGACATCTTGAAATTGATCCAAAACAACATCAATAGGTTCGGCTTGGTTACGTAATGACCACATTGACGATGTTGTAAAGACCATGAGTGGGATGCTAACACACTGAAAAAGAAACAGCAATAGAATTCACTTCCATTAATCGTTCCAATTAGTGAAGATGAATTGGTTCTACACTTTGTGGTTGTCGGCCATGCAAGGTCAAGTGTTCTTTTTCCTTTGTAAATGAGAGCGTCAACTTTTTATAATCCATCAAAACTGGTCCCAAGGTGGAAAGCCACTGAGCGCCCAACACAATGTCTGCCCCTCGAAGCGGAAGAACAAATAAATCCACCCCAAATTTATGCCCTTCCAAATAGAGTGTTACTTTTTGACATAATCCAACATCCCAAGGTCTCACCATT